TTCCTATTTTATCAACTAGAGTTTACTTATAATCACTTTAAAATAAAAGAATGAGGGTTCCTAAAATATGTTTACCTACTCACCACAAATAACTGGCAAGTGTAAAAACATTTCTGAGAAATGTACTGCATAACTATGGGGTGAATGGATTTCCAAACAGATTAAAGTTTCATTTGTGAAACATTGGATATTGTACTTATGAATCAAGAATAGGGCAGAAGTTAAGGAAGTAGTTGTAGTCCTATCAGAGTATTATTCTGATACTTTTCTGTAGGCACTGAAAAAAAATGCAAGTCAAGATTGTTGGTAACCTGTATGATATATAAAAAATAGGTTCTTTCCAACTCCACCAGCAAACAGTCAATAAACAAGTATTCAAAACATAACCTCCATGCGTGTTTGGGGAAATAAAGGTTCAAATGTTACAATATGTTGCTTTTTCATATACCTACTGAAGTGTCATACTCATGCAGGTGGATCTTATTTTTAATCTTTCCAAGATATGGTTTATGTAAACATGTTGTCAGTAGCTCAGATAACACAATGTTACTGCAATGACTGCAGAACAGTTTCAAAATGAAGCTCATCTTGGCAAGACGTGAAAGGTGCAATTCATACCAGAATACATGGCTTCCACATGCATACTTGCACATTTTTAATTCTATAAATATGCCAAGCTCTTGGAAATCTCAGAATCATGCCTAGCCTAACCTAACCAAACATACAAAGGCAACCAACGGTAGCCAATGAAACCAAGGTAACCATGGTTATGAAGGGAAACATGGTAACCTGAGCAACCATGGTAGCCATAATAACCGAGTAGTTCTCAACCTGAATCACACAGACTGACAGACAGGACCAGCCTTAAAAGATATGCTGAGAAAAAAGACACATTTTGTAATTTTTGACCAAAAAGTCACAATCTCCATTAATAAAATTGCTTTTAATTTCTTTTTAAAACAACTATGTGAACTTGTGAAGGTAACAAAACAAATCAATAATATATGCAATATTGTGTACTTAAAATAGTTTTTCTTCCCCTGGGGAAAAATATAAAATGCTACTTAACACATTTTTGCATCATGCAAGTCTTAAATTCTTGGAAGGCCTCTGGTTTGCTCTGGCTCCTTTCAGAAAAGTCCAGACTTTCAGGCTTCTGTATATATGCATATGCATATGTACACATACATTTTTTTGCCCAAAGTCAAGGTAAGTAAAACCAACATTGTGCTGCATTTTCAACCTTGGTATTAGAAGGAATTGAGTGATCAGTTTCTGCTAAAGCTCCTTTATATGGGGAAAAGCCATCCAAAACAAAGTGATACATGCGATATTTATGATGTTAAATCTCGGTAATTGCGAAAATTAAGATATTTACTAACAAATAAAACAGTGATATTATCACAACTGCATTTATCTTTCCTAAAAAACAAACAAAAACATTGTAACTTTCCCATTACTTTTAGATTATGTATTATTTTGTCTTCATTTCTTTCACTGTTCAGTTTCTTCCTTCAAATATCTTTGGCTCATTCTTAAAATAAAAACTTCCAAGCATGGACGACTAAACTGAGAAGATATCGAGGGCATCATGCTAGTATGACATATGAAAAAACAGTTTACACTTGAGGGAAAATTCTTAAGCTTATTTGGTTCAGCAAATGTGCATTATTAATGTTTACTTGCCCAAAGATAACTGTGACTGTGTAGAGCAGCATCAGCATTATACTCTTTTGGTATGACATACATTCCACTATTTTGTGTTTTTAAGCCAAATATCTTTGAATATGCAAATATACTGATACATCCTTTTGGTATAATGCCCATGTATCATTCACACAAAATATTGTATCTCCTATGAGATTACAATAATAATAATTCCATAATACTTTATCAATTTTTTACATGTTGCCTAGCTTAAACTGTTTTGTAACTCCAAGTTAAAACTAACGCCTGACAAAAAATCATGGAACTTTATCATCCCCAGCAGGAAACCTGCCTGGTTCATGCATTCTTTAATTTTTTTTGCAGTCTATAATCCTGAGTCCTTGGCACTGGTTATTTTGAAGTTTTAAGTCTAATTTATAAACATCCTCATAGTGTTATGCTCTCTGTCTTCCTAACAACTTTTAAACAAATTGACCAAAATCAGAATGAAGGACATGCCATAGGAGGTAACACAATTGTCATATTTTTAAATTCTTATCATGAGTGTCACTCACTGAATGCCATAAAGTGACCTGCTTGTATGAAATTATACAATAAAGGTGGAGGGCCTGTAAAGCTAAATTTCAGCAGGGTATGAAGGAAATTGCTAGATTCACACCTCTGCTGCATTTAACAAAAGGGAAGAGCCTTAAAATATAATTCTGCAGGCAGTGAGGTAGGCCCTAGAAACTATATGAAAACAATGTTTTTTAAATATAACACTTCTGTTTAGCCCATTATGTACGTAACACATGACCACACAATAGTAACTGACAATTCACTGATGACAGGCAAGTAAACTGTGGTACTGAACAATGCGAATGGGAAATTACAAACTTACCTACAAGTTTTATTGGAAATTTGTGTGTCAAAAACTACCAACAAGACAATAACATGAACCTAATTATTAGCAGTATTTATATTAACAGAAACAGTGTAACTAAATAGCCCTTTAAATGGCAAGCAGTATTTTGAATTTTCCTGCATAGTCCCTAGATTTGACTAAAGGACATCAGGAAACCAGTAAGATGGAAGCTGCTCTCAGCTCAATTCACACACATCCAAACATAAAGCACAAGCCATCAAGAATAGTTTTCTTTCACATGTAAAATAACTTCCTGGAAGTAACTTTTAACAGGTTTGCATTTGCATGCATCACTAAGCTGGTAGATTTTCTATTACTTCAGTGTAATAAATAATGGGATCTGAGTCACATCACATGAAGTGTTAGGAGCCAAGCCAAACTCATATTTGGGATGGTCCTTTCTAAGTCAAGTCTTGTATTCCACCACATACAAATGCTGACAAAATGTACAAGTAAATAATTGTTGAAATGATTAAGGGAAAAAAATGCTAAATTCATTTCCTACAAGAAAAGTTTGTGTTGCAACTTCTAAACCTGCATGGTCATTTTCATGAATCCTGGTATGCATCTTATGTGGATCTCAGAACAAAATGTTTTACCTACTAATTCAATCAATTCAGCTGAAATTTGATCAGTACCTGGTGAGAAATATCTTTTAAACTTTTCAACAGCAGTCTCAATCTCAAAACAGCTAAGTTCAGGTAGTAATAGCTCAGGAGTATTATTTCTAGCTGTATAACATCATTAACCCAATGCACATTCAATAACTGACAAACGTGGTGGGGATTTACAAGCACGTCATCATTCTCATCTTTTACCAAGCTGTAGCTATGTTGGTAACCCTTCCTATATTCATTTATGCTTCTGTACAGGTTTCTAAGACAACAAAGATGTATATACAAATAGAACATAAATAAATGATAAAATTAATCTTCTAATGCATAATGCCTAGCAGCACTAACAATGCCCTCCAGTGGATTACATGACAACAAGGTCCTTTCTTCAACTATCCATTTTAAATTTAGTCAGCAAATAGGAATTTTGAACATAATATGTAAAGAAAAGCAAGGTTATTAAGGTAGCTGTAATTTATTAAAATGTCCCTAGTAAGGTATGACAGTTTCTTATTTATAACACATGGACATTAATTTATCCTTCTAGCAGCATGCAAATGAGTATACATGATTACTTGGAGTTTACAAACAACACTAGGAATATAAACATTTAACACATCCAGCAATAAAATGATATTCTAAAGGACATGCAAACTTGACAGCAATGTGTCTTACATCAGAACTAACTGAAATCTACATTTCTCGTTCATACAGTTCAATTATTAAGTGAGTAAAACAGGTTCAATGATAAGGGTTTCATTCTGAGCTGGGGCAGGAGTTTTCTCTTCATCACAATTTATAGACCAGCTCTGGAGATCATTCTTTCAGGACAAAGCAGCTGGCATGTAAATTTGGCCATTCACCTTGATCTACAGCTAACAAGATTGTATGTCGTTATGCTTAAAACCAAATATATCAAACACTCAATATAATGTAACTGTATGAAGCAATGAAACTCCACAGCACTGCAATGGTTATGTACATAAGATTTGGCCTCTCAACCATGCTGAATTCAACAAACAGAATCATATCCACCAAAGGATAATGAATTTAAAACACATTGCATTTATATACAAATGAAGGCCAAGTAAACTTTCAGAAACACTGTGCTTCTTGGTAATCCAAAAACTGGATAATCTTGTTAAAGAGTATTTATATTGGAAATGGGGTTATGAATGTGCTCTGGAAAGGAAATGTAAATTGTTATTCTATTCTTGAATTACACTGAAAGGCGTAAGTAACGTAACTGGCAGAAAATTTTGATGAAATCCATCTCTCCCTCCTAAGCACTCACAATTGATAGTGAGAGTGCAACATCAATTTAAATAACCTATGTCTTGTTCCAAGATTATGGTACAAAATGTAAACTCTTAATAAGCCAAAATAATTACAAATGATAACACTAATAGTGATGGTGGTGATTATTATCATAATAATGTGACATCCGTTATGTATGATATATAATATATAAAGAGCGATAAAATATAAATGCTATTAAAATATTAATGATGCACACAATAACTGATGGTCAAAACAAAGTTAATTTTGGTAATAGGAAGCTAATCAGGGATTAATTAAATAGAATCAGTATGACTGAAAAGAAAATGAAATTACCACAGGGCGGTACACAATGTTCAATTTATCCATATTCTTGGATTAATTTAGTTTCAATATTCCTTAAAGGATAATACAGTTGCATATACTTTTTCACATACTGGCCCAGGTAGCCGATACTGTATAATGACAGTGACCTCTTCTACTTTCATTAGGTATTGATAGCCGAGCTTTGTTATGTTTTGAAATACACAACTTACCATTTTTTGGTAAATTCCTGATGACATTCACTGCAGCACGAAATTTTTCTTCTGTTGTCATTTCTGTGGCACAAACGCGATCAAAACACTTCACAGCTGATAGCATATATAACCTATACAGACACTCCACACAACTCCGCTAGCCGTTAGAAGACTGAAACAAAAGAGCATCAAGCCACGTAATGTAATCGTTCGCACGAGCCGCGCCGAGTGTACAACACAAAAAACTTCAAGTAACGCTATGTACTGACACGTAATTAAGGTTCACTTGTGTTTGCCCTCCCTCTGCTCGCTCGTCCAGCGATAATCGTTTAAGCAGTAAACAGATAAAAATTTATCCTTACATGCTTATGTGTTGAATTTTGCGAGCATGCGCATTGCAACACTAAGTACATGTAATTCGTAGATTGTTAACCTGCGATCTGTTGTACAAACATTCAGCAAAATCTGTCATTTTTGTACACAGGAGAAATCTAAGTTACAGGAAGAGAAGCAAGACAGACAGACAGACTGTCCCTTCGTTCAGTACCTTGTCTCAGGAAGTAGAAACTTTGTTGCACAGATCAACTTACTGGTAGCGGACAACGTGATTCAATGATGGTAGAGTGGGAGCGAAAACGACAGACTTTCAATTGTAACAATGTATTGTGCTTACTTAACATCAATTCTCTGCCGTGGCAGATCAGCTAGCATTAGTTGTACTGGACAGACGCATTTTGATATTTAATAGACCATCACGTGTCTCATGCTATGCTACTTACGCTAATGCACGTATCTGTCAAAACAGTGTAGCACATATTTCGTGCACAATTAAACCCTAAGGTTCATCACCGAATTAACCAAAGCCCTCCACCGAACCCTGTCCTGGGCCAACAAAATCCAGTCTCCTTCGACTCCTATCTCCCATAGATCCCGCCTGAGATTATCCTCCCATCTACGTCTAGGTCTCCCCAGAGGTCTCTTCCCCTCAGGCTTCCCAACCAGTACCCGGTGCACACCTCTTGTCCCATCCATGCGCGCTACATGCCCCACCCATCTCATTCTTCTCGACTTCATCACCCTGACAATATTGAGGGATCTGTGCGAAATCTGCCCTTGTTAAAACCTCCAATTCATTTTTTGACGTAAATACGTCTATATGGAAGGGTCATTACGCAAAAACCTGTTACTAAAACAGAAAAATGTGTAAGATCCGTATCAACAAATCGACAACAATGGTCAGCTTGCGTGCATTGTTATGTTACCTAGGAAACGTCATCTGTTTACTCGGCATTGTTGTTTTACATTACTGCCGTTAACAATCCGCTTTCGTAACAAGATGGATGACATTGAAGATAACATTACATTATATTACAGAGACGTATTTACGTCAAATTCTCCGGAACCGTATAGTTCCACTGACAACGTTTTATATCCTTCTGCTTAAAGAAAAAAACGGGCTTGTAGCAACACGCAACAAATAATTTCGCAAGTCTGATTACAAGTGGTCTCGGGTTGGATATGGCGCGCAGGCCGTCAGTTCGGCCGCGCGGGGCTATTGCAGACATTTCAAAGCCGGTAAAAGAATACCTGTTTTAGTTTTACAAGCCGGATATAACAGTTCTAATAATATGGCTACATGTGACTTTATGAGCGAGGTGTGTCGGAAAAATACATGGAACATGTCGGATGTGTCACTTGAGGGAGTAAATTAAAAAGTCCTTCCAATTTCTGTTACTAAATTTGTCACATTACAATGTTAAATAAACCGTTTGTTCAAGAAAATAAAATCGAAGTCCTTATTAGAATTGCCTACACAATTTCTTCGCACCTTGACGATCCGACTGCTTTCGCTTTTCCAAAAGCAAGGCAAATTCTACAAGCTCTTTCTAAAAGGACGCTCCAGTTTTAATTTCATATAATTACCTAATTACACAACGAACATCACTGTGTTTGGCGTCTCTAAGGGCGGCCGCACACCAACTGCGTCAAGACAAACATCAAGACATGAGACAAAAGACGCAGTCTTGCTTCATTCGTGATTCAGACTCGAGTCCGCACACCGAAGTAGCACGTGTCTGCGTATTATCACATCTTATCTAGTTGATGACATGACGTCGTCCAGTGAGGAAGATATTTTAATGTACATGTGGCTTAAATTACGTAAAAGAAGGAAAAGGAAGTGGATTCATGACTTTAATGAGTCGTGTGCGTACTTTTTAGCGCGCGACTTGTTAAACGATCCGGTGAAATTCCAGTCTTATTATCGACTGTCTCCAGAATCCTATAAGGAACTTCTTGAGAGAGTTTCGCCACTATTGAGGAAGCAGGATACAAACTATAGGAAAGCTATTAGTGCTGTAAGTTAATGTTATATCTTGCTTCATTCGTGATTCAGACTCGAGTCCGCACACCGAAGCAGCACGTGTCTGCGTCTTATCACATCTTCTCTAGTTGATAATCGTATATTACCGGGAATTTCTCAACCATCTGCACTATCTTAATATTTGTTTGCTTTTCACTCATGTCGATAACGTACATTGGTGCTGTTACTTGAGTACTGACGTCTCAATCCTGACGCACAGAAAAGGAACATGCCGAGTCTTGCTGCACGTGTCTGCAGCATGAAGCTGACGTCAGCATCATGACTCAGACCAGTGTATGGTGGTTTTCATAATCTCATTCGTTTCAACTGTGCTCCTTTCTTTGCGTCATGTCGCAGACATCGTGTCTTGACTGTTACATGTCTTGATGCATGCCGGTGTGCGGCCTACCTAAATTCAGCAACATTTCAAATGAAAATATTACATATAATGGCTTGAGGTTACATTGCTATGGTAAATAATTCAGCACAGATGGGGAAATAAATAAATAAATAAATATATGACAAAAGATTATGAATAAACCGACTATATTTGGGGCGTACCAATATAATTACGAGATGACTATGGAAAGTTATGTTTCAAACGCTAACAACTCAATTTGCTTGTTTATTATTACTTTTCATTATTTTGCTGTCTCACACGAAATTACCATGAAATCATACGTAAAAAGAAATTTAATTTTAAAAATTAGAATGTTTTATTTTTACAGCAGGCGGTGCATGAGTGGTTGCGCAGACAACCACAAGAATTTTTTTCTAGAGGAATCCATACACTTCGTAAACGCTGGAGGGCCTGTATTGAACGAAATGGAGACTATGTAGAAAAATGATACAGTTGTGTATCGCTTTCACTCAATAAATTAAATTTTAAAAAAAAAATTACGGTTTTCATTTGACTCACCCTCGTATTATATAATTTAAATCTAAAATAAAAGTAAAGCTGTCCCACTACACGCCATGTAGGCGCTTGGGGGAGAGGAGGCATAGCTCCTACTCTTTCTTGACCTCTGCACTAGATGGGGGTGAGTGGTCAGCATCACGCCCCACATCCTAAATAAATTAAATAAATTACATCAAAAATAATGTATTAAATAAAAAGTTTTAAATGAGAAAAATGAAAATCAAGCTATTAAATAACAAATACATTGTTGTCTATCATATAGAAATTAATAAAGGACCAAAGGTATTTTAGCAAAGCAAAATAATGTTTAAATATTTTATCAATTATTAATTAATGTGGTTCAGACCTGTTAATGAGATGATTGAGCTTGTTTCTGCCGCCCAGATAAGAACTTCATAAAGGAGAGAGAGAGAGAGAGAGAGAGAGAGAGAGAGAGAGAGAGAGAGAGAGAGAGAGAGAGAGAGAGAGAGAGAGAGAGAGAGAGAGAGAGAGAGAGAGAGAGAGAGAGAGAGAGAGAGAGAGAGAGAGAGAGAGAGAGATGACGCTCCCAGATCGAATGTCCTTACGTCTGGCCCTGATTATTCAGTGTTTATCATAAAATAATATATATTTTTTTAAATTTCACGTACCCCCTAAGATGTCTTCGCGTACCCCAGGTTGAATACCACTGGTCTAGAGAGAATTTGCTATATGTAGTTCGCAAACAATCGACGAACTGCAGCAGAGATCGGCGTCGGCGAAGAAACTCTGGCTGCAGTTGTGCAAAAGTTTCGACGTCGGCTGCAAATGGTCTTGGACGCCGATGGTACACACACTGAAAATATTTTTACGCGATCGTCAATCACCCAAGACTACTGAACTCAGAGACATCAAATACAGTGTTACATATTATTATTGAAATTCACGGATCAAGAAACCATATGTTCGTCTGAAACATGATTAAGTTAAACGTGTCTCAATCACAATATTTCCGACGTGTCTCGTTCTGACACGTGGAGTGCTGACATGTGCAGAGGTGGAGTTTTAATCGCCGTTTTCCACGGAGTTCACTCACTTTAAACGCAGACGTGACTCGGAAACTACTTGTGGGTTGAAATCACTACACGTGGCAGCTTTCAAGTACTTCTTTATAACCACTTTTCCCCCCCCCCCCCGACTTAAAACATGACACTATTACGAAATATTTAACTTCATACAAAAAAGTGTTGACAGGCATAATTATTGATACATTGACTCGTAACTTTTATGCTTCTGGATGTGACTGGGAACGAACTGTGTCCTTGGCCGGTTGCCTCCACGTGTTTCTTTGGCTGAAGTCGTCAGTTGCAGTTTACTTGACGTAACAGTCACTAATTTTGGTGATCTGAGCACCAAATTAACTGATGATTGCGTGGGAGAGCCTGACTAATATCCCCCTCCTTTCTATTATAGTTTATTTGTCATTTAAAAACTTGTAGAAAGTCATGATTCTTCTTATAACAGATTTCCTTCAGAGGTCACCTTCTGCTGTGCAATATTCTTCATACTGTGTGTGTGTGTGTGTGGTGCAACCACTGTTGGTGCTTCGCTTGGCTATGGCTCTGACAGAAAATAATCGAAATTTTCTGTTCTTTAAAGTATTATATAAGAAGAAATTTATTTTTACAGACGCTGTAGAAGAACAAATCTATTAATATAATAAATTTTAGTTTTTATTGAAAGCCATTAAGCCTGACGGACTTTCTTAGTGTAAATCTGTAGATAGAAATCTTAAAACGCAACTTTGAAACTTAGGAGATGCGTATCTACGTTTACAAACAAATTATATTGATTAATTCCAATCAGGTTGAGTTTAACGGTAGTCTTTTGTCCGAACCCTGTGAAGTTACTGAGACTTTTGCTAAGATCTTTGAACTAGTCTAAAACAGTTCCCACTTGGAAAATTTCCACTCTTTATTACAGACCTCTGAATTTGTATCATTAGCACCTGTCACTAATTTCATGTTCGTAAAGCCTTAAAACGCCTACGACCATCTGAATCTGTTGTACTCGATGATATTCC